TTGGACAGGCTTTTCGCAGTCACTGTTGGCCCAGCCAGACCATTTCAAGCCACCACTGATCGCGCCGTTGGCCTGAACAGCAGGATACGGGTAGCAGCCCTTCGAAATATGGAGTTGCGGTTTGTACTTGATGGCAGACTTCTCCGAGTCTGTGGTTGGTTCCATCTCTTCGAACGGTTGCACTTGGTCGTGGTTGATCGTACGGATGCCAGCATTGACTGACACGAAGGAGAGAAGAGCTCCGAGGAAAAGGACGCCGGCAACGAGGTAACGCGCACGATGTGGCTGGTTTAGAAATGAGGCTGGCAAATCAATGGTCGACTGCACATGTCAACAGGATTACCGGTAGTACTTGTGGTAGCTGTGGCTTTGATATTATCTCTACGCTCGTAGTATGGCAAAAAATGAATGATTAATATTCTCTCTGATTTTGTATGTATAAAGTGTGCCTGTAAGGTGAAAAACCTTTCTTACCCAACAACTTTCTAGTTTCCGTTGCCAGAGGATACGTGATACAAATACCCAACATCTAGCGAAAATATTAAGGTCGCTGATGTAAAAGGCTTTTACCGTTGGCCGTACATGCTCCAAAAAATAACACTCTTAGAATAGTATTTGAAAAAACATAGTAATACACAAACAATAGTGCATGGTGTCACAGATTACGGTATGGAACAAAGGTTTTACGGTAAGTTGTCAAATAGAGCGAGTTATTTTGTTGAGAGTTTCCAAGTATTTCCAATTGCTTCGACTAAAACCATATCGTGAACGGTGCAATGACGTCTAGTGGGTGATTTACTGCTGCTCTTCATAAGGAGGAGAGGTGAGTTATCGTTTTCACTACAGAGCTACTACGTGTACTGTTTGAAGCCAACAAACATGAGATGTATCGCATTCACGATTCGCGAATCACGAATATGCAATCTGGGCGCATCAGATTCCAGTTAGTCCAGGAGCAAGTGCATTGCACGTACCCTAATACACACAGATACAGACCTTGGGACCAAGTATTTAACGCATATATCTTCTTGGGTGTCTTTGGAATACTGGTAGGCCATAAGCTAAAACGCCTGGTACTTGCGATTTTAGTCAATACCGATCCATTCCTGGTTGTGTCCACGAATCCGATTATGTGTGAACTTTTTTTTGACAGTTCGCCCTTGACAGGAAACTTCCGCTATTTTTTTTT